TGTTTCTTTGCAGCCAAAACTTGTCCAACAGTTTGCATGCTTATCTGAAGCATATCCCATGCAATTTGGTTTGGAAATCTGATGGGAACAAGCTCGCTCAGAAGATTTCCAGTCCTTTCTAATTCCAATAAGAATAGAAAAGATGCTTTTGCATTACTGAAGCACTTACATTGCCAGAATAGCCAGGAGGTAGAGAGACATGGGGCTGGGGGTGGGGGGAAGTAAGTAAATATTTTAATCTTTAAAAAATGGTTTGGATTCAGTTCAAGATTCAAATACCGATTTGGTTCATTTAATATTTCATCTTAAACACTCTGCGCAGCTCTCCTCAGAGTTCAGAATTACTGGGAAAAGAGTACAGGCGGTGTCCCATCTTGCAGTGTTCTCTGAGAGAATAGGCACAGGAACAAAATCTTTTGTCTGGCAGATGAATTAAGTACATGAATTAAGATAGTATTCAAGTGACACTAGCACAGAAAGCAAGTGTGAAATAAAGTGTGAATTTCAGTACTATCAAAGTCTGATAACCTGGGCCCTGATTTAGCAAGGTATCTGAGCACCTGACTAACAAAGTAGTCACATTGAAGTAAATAGGACTATTTATATGCACAAAACTAGGCACATGTTAAAATTCCTTGCTGAACGGAAACCCTAACGAGGGTCTGAACTCAAAATGGTAGCTCAAATTTGATTCCCTTTGAGTGAAATACAAATAAGCACCTCTTTTGAATGCTGGGGAATGGGAGAGCACTTCATAGTCACATAAAAATAGAAGTGAACAGGCAAAAACTTTTGAAATAGGAAAGATCACTTGGGAGTATAGCAAGAAAGACTTAAACAACATATTTCTCCTCCAAAATATCCTTGACAAGGCCCTGTGAAGGTTGAATGTTGGATTACTTGTTTCCTCTGCAATAAAGGAGTTCATACATGTTAGTGTCTTTGATATTGGAGCAGGGTATGTGAATGCTAGGTGAGAACTACTTATCATTGGTTAGTGCTTGATGCTTTCTTATACCTGGTTTCACACAAGTCACCCCTTCTCCAACGCTCTCTACAATACCAGCTGCTTCGTGGCCAAGAATTATTGGAAAAGGTACAGTTAATGCACCACTCATAACATGGTCATCTGAGCGACAGATCCCTGTGGCCAAAATCTGTAGGGAAAGCAAAGAATATTTCAATACGTAAGGAACTAATTTTTCAGCTTTTACCTGTGTGATATGATATAGAAGTGAAGATGTATTTTGAATCCAGAGAAGTGAGTATAACCATAATAAACCTAAGACATGATCCCTAAGACTGCTTATTTATCACAGCCATGACTCATGACAGAGATCATAACTTCTGGTGTTTTTGCACAGCATGTTATGGCCTTTGTCATCTGCCACACTCTTCCATAAATGTTTACTGTTTTTCGGGTCCGTGTAGTTGAAAGCTTGTGTCTTTCACCAACAGAAGTTGGTCCAATAGAAGATATTACCTCACTCAGCTTGTCTCTCTAATATTCTGGAACCAACACAGCAGTTTTAAATAGCCTGCATAATTCAATACGAGTTCATCCGATAGTAACCACTCTAGTGGCAATATCTGTAAGATCGAGCCCTACATTTCTATAGCACGAATATTACTGGCACCGCTACAGTATGTAATTTACAAAGTTCATCTTTTTCCTACCTTAATGCGAACTTCATGTGCCTTTGGGGGGGCAACTTCCACCTCCTCAATGGAAAATGGTTTCTTAGGCTCCCAGGCAACAGCGGCTTTGCATTTAATGACCTATGAAAACAGCAAGGAAAACAAAATGGCATTTGTGTATGTAGCACCTTCCCCAAGGTGTGGCTCAAGCCTCCTCCCTGGTGCTTTGTACTTAAGAGTTGCTTCTCCCCTCTACTCAACAGGGTTGGGTCTTGGGTTCTTTTTCTGACACCTGATGCCTTCACCCCAGGTGACTCTTCGCCTTGTCCCTTGGGAAAATGAATAATGCTATCTCTGCTGGTAAGCAGTATAAAACCTATGTAACCCCTTCGGCTTTAGACAGTATGGCTGCTTTAAAACCTTGTCCTGAGGCAGAGGAAGTGCTATTGTTCCAAGAAGAGGAAGTGCTGATTGTCCAAGGGAGAGGGGGCTGAAAGAGAGGACAGGGATGTGTGGGTGTCTGTACAGCAAGCAGACCCCCACATAGCGAAGCAGCTGAGAACCAGCCTGACGTCTGTGAGAGACAGAACTGCTGACTTGGGACATCCCAGAATGGGAGCCAGGAGGACCACCATGCCAGTAAGGAATCACCTCAGAAGGACAAAGCAGAGCTGCACCTAGTATCGCTGTCACTCAGACAGACTGTATAGGGCCACGAGTACTGAGGCTTATGACTACACTGAGAATATGGAGAAAGGTTGTAGCCAGTTAAATGGGACGGTTGTCGTTCTGTGGAGAGAGGTAGAAGAGGGCACCAGAGGGCTTGTTGGGGAAAGTTTACTGGTGCTGAAGATGACCAGGAACACTCAAGATTCACTGCTGCACTGGAACTCTGCCAAGTATTCCTGAACTCTGAGTCTGGACGCAGTGCTCAGCATCTGTCCTTTTATATTGTGATAGCACTGGGCTGCTGGATCTTTGTATTGGATGTAATCATTTTACTTCTCCCCCTATATTTTCCCTTGTTTTTCCTCCATTCATCCTTCTGTAAATAAATATTTCCCTTTCCTATATTCATTGTACTATTCCACTGTGTGCACGTGCGTGTGTTTACTGTGGGGGGCAGGGGGGAGAGGAGAGGGATAGAACAAGTGTCTCTGGGGTGGAAGGGAGTTTCCCTGCTGCATTCCTGCAGGGGCCTGTTCTTGGCAGGAGCCCATCCCACAAAGCAGACTCCGTCTGGGCCACGAGGGCATTACAGTTACGCCCAGTACACAATAAACAATACATTCCAGCAAAGGAATGACACACCCAAAAATAACAACAACACAAAAGGGGACTTTATTTGGAGCTGGAAAATAGGATCTGGGGAAGAAAAAAGTTGGGGTTAACTAAGTATTAAAACATCAGCAAATCAACCAATTCTCCACCTACCAACACTCAAATCTTCACCACCCCTAACTCCCTTCCAGGCGCCTTCCCCAGAAGATGGTATGCTAGAGATGAGTCTGGGGACATGTGCAGCAGCACTGTGAACAGTGGCTGGCTTAAACAAAAAGGGTCCTCTTGTGTCCTCATGCTGGGTCAGGCAGGCTCCTCTCCTGGCTTCCTGGTCAGAGTCCTACACTATCACACTGTCTTAAGTATAGTTAGGTGTCTCTGAATCATACTGGTTTTCTAAATTATGTGACTCAAAGGCGTAACTACTTTGTCATCTGTCTGTCCATTAGTTGCAATGAGTGGCTGTGGTTGGTTTGGAATTTTTGAGTCATCTTCTGCATCCACCATCTGTAAGGTTTTCTCTGTTGATTGTTCTTTCTGAGGAACAAACTGCAGACGTTGATGGGTTATGCTGAACTCTCCACTGTCAGTCTCGATCACATATGATCTTGGTACTGAATTCTTTTTCTTTATGACAGCTGCAGTTGTCCATCCTTTTTCTCCATCCAATTTGATATAAACATAGTCACCAAGTTCTAGACCCAGCAATTCTTTAACTGAGTGACATTTGTTCTAAAAGTGTTCATAAGCTCTTTTGGCCTTTTCATCCAATCTGGCTACTCTCGAGCAAGGAATGGCACTTCCTGCTGTAGGATTGTCTTGGCTGTCTACACAGATCTTTCAGCCTTTCTATCTGCTTGTGGATAATGTAGGCTGCTAGTAATAGGATCAAAATTATATTTTGTTTGGAACAACTTAAATTCTGCTGCAGTGAATTGTGGTTTGTTGTCCATCACTAGTTGCTCTGGAATACCAAAGTGAGCAAAAGCGAACTTCAGTTTCTCGATAACACGGTGACGTGGTATGCCTTTCAAGTATATTCTTTCTATATACATGGAAAAATATTCCATGATGACCAGGTAATGACGTCCTCTGAATTTGCATAAATGTGCAGCTAGTCTCTTCCAACATCTGCCAGGTAAAGGTCGTGTTATTAAAGGTTCTTTGTGTCACGTTGGTCTGTTAGTTCTCCACTGTTCACATACAGATGCTTTATTCTTTAAGTCCTTTCTGATGCCCAGCCATCACACTGACTGGTTGGCCTGTTCACAACATTTAGTTATTCCTTGATGTCCTTCATGGATGGGGTTTAGGATTTCTCCTTTTATTTCATTTGGAATTGCAATTCCCTTTAATTTTGAGTCCACTTGACTCACTTACTTGTATACGCACTGCGAAGTAGTCTCCTGTTACTTTCTTAGTGTCCTTTAGATACTTGAGTCAGCTGCCCCTAATGTAACTTAGAACTTCCTGAGTTGTGTGTTTGTCGAGATTGCTTTTTGTAGCTTGAGTAGTCTCTCTTCTGACACTGGTCTATATGTGTCCACAGCATCCACGTATGCTTCTACGTCATCTTCGAGCTCATGGGCAGTTGAATGTGATGCTGGGCTCCATGACTGAGTGTCTGCTACTACCAAATTTTTCCCAGAAAACACTTAACTATTGGGTTAAATCTCATTAACCTTAGCAATAGATGGCATTTCAGCAGTGCTTGATCCAGGTCTTTTCCATTAATGAATGTTACAAGTGGTTTATTGTCTTAGTGTAAAGAAATCAAGTTTGCACAGAGATTTGTAAAAGTTCTCATATGCTTGCGCGTATCAATCTGCGCATATCATTTTTATGCTTCTGTGAGTGTGCAAGAGCAAAATGCAACCGGTTTCCACTCAGAGCCATGTTGTTGCAACAATTCACCACCTAGGCCATAGCTGCTTGTATACGCACTGACCATTGTGCGTTTGTTAACATTGTTGTACTTGAGAATGGGAGCTGTTGAGATCATTTTTTTTTTCTTTTTGAAGGCAATTTCTTGATTTGGCCCCATGACGGGGAATACCTGCCCCACACTGGGCTGGAGGGGGTTAATGCCATGCTATGGGCTGAGGTAGCCATGCCCCTTCACACCTGTTGGGCATGCGCTGACTGGAACTTCAGTATAAGAGGGAGCAGCTCAGCTCAGTCTGGGCTGACTGCTGACGAGGGTAGAAGTGCGCCACAGGCTCCTTCTGGGAAAGTGCCAGAGCCACCAGATGCCAACGCCAGCTAGGTCGGTGCCTCTACTGAACCCAAGTCGACCACTGAGGCTGATGGAGGAGAGGTAGTTATTGCCGAAGGATCCCCCCCGCACTGGGAGAAGGGGTAAGAAGCAACCCAGGAAATGGGACGGTAGGAACAGGTGACCAACACTGAGCAGCGAAGTATCAGTTCCCTAAGGCCCTGGGTTGGATGGAACCCGGTGGAGAAAGGAGGGTCCCGGTCTCCCTGCCCGTCTAACACGCCGTGGACACCACCACCATACGGGGAGGTGAATTGGGCCGGCGAAGGCCATTACTTAGACTTTGGCCACAAGGCCGTACTTCCTGAGCCCCGGGACAGCCCTATTGACTCTGGCCATTGAGTCATGCTGTCCTGGGAAGGAGAGCAGCTACTTAGACATTAGCTACCAAGCCTATGGTCCTGAAGCCCAGGCCTGCCTTAAGGAACTTGGGCCACAGGCCATACTCCCCGAAGGGGCTGATGGGGTATATCTGCCCCTTAACAGGCCACCATAGCCAATTTCAGTGGTTTGGTCACTGCAGAAAGATACTTGCAAGTATCGACCAAGGTAATTTACCATCCCCAGTACAAGTCTCAGTTCTGGTACATTAGATGGTGCATTCAATTCTCTAATTGCTTGTACTTTCTCAGGGCTAGAACTGATTTCATCTTTCTTTGTCTGTCCCAAAAACCTGGGGTAGATGGAAAATGCATTTTTCACTGTTGAGTTTTAATCCAGACGGACTGATCAGGCTTAGGACTTTGAGGGTTTTGTGTTCTTCCATCGAAGGTCCATGCGTCGTCCGTGAAAACTACAACCCCATTTGTGTTAGTTACCAATTCTGCCATCTTTCTTTGTAAATGTTCAGTTGCACTGATGGTCCCAAAAGGTAGTCTTTGAAAGTAAAATCTCCCAAAGGATGTGATAAATGGAGTCAGTTTAGCATTTTCTTGGCTAAAGGAATTTGCCAGAATCTGCTCAAGGTATCCGGCTTGGAGAATACTGTCGCGCCTTTCACTTTGGGGAGGAAGTCATCCAGTGGTGGGAGGATACATTTTTCGCTTGCAGCTGCTTCATTAAGTCATTTAAGATCCACACAGATTCATATTTTCCTTTTAATAACTGGTATTATTAGAACACAATATGCTGTTGGCTCAGAGATTTTCTCAATTATACCAATCCATTCCATTCTCTTTAATTCAGTTTCCACTTTATGCTGCGGTGAGGTATGTGCATGCAGCATGGGTCAGCATTGTCTCTTGAGGTTATCTGTACTGGAGATACTTTCTAAAGTCCAATATTTCCAAATATTCCATCGAGTTCCTGCACCTGTCTCACTAGGCGCATCATGGCTGCTGGCATGTGATCACAGCTGAGAAGACTGCTGGCATGCGATCTGAATGCATAACTTTTGTCTCAGGGCTGTGTCAGGTGACTTCAGCTCTGGGAGGGGTTGAAGGTGATTGTTTCAAGAGAAAGAAAGAACAAAAACAACTGAGGATAATGGGCAACCAATCTACCAAATAGCACCTAGAAGGGGGGAATAATTAATTAATACCCTGCCCCTCCCTCCACTCTGTGCAGAGATGTGGGATGACACATC